AAACCATTTCAGTTGGGGAACCCAAGGTTGAGAAAGGCAGAGTGTTGACATGTCATGGGGTTGGCAACCAATGTCACAAAACATGTGTATTAATTTTTTATTAAGAAACTAGTTTTCTCTGTAAACCTTTGTCTAAAGTTCAATAAAAAAGAAAGAATATTCCAAGATACACTGACAGAATATTTTCCATGCCTACATAAGCAGTTGAACCTGTAAATCCAAAAATCTAGGCAAACTCCAAGCTGAATGAATCCAAAGAGGTCTACATCAAGACATGTTGTAATCAAATTTTTGAAAATCAAAGACAAGGAGAGAGTTCTGAAAGCAGAAAGACAAAAGTACAGTATAAGTGTTCTCAAAAAGAAAAAGCTCTGAATTCTCCTCCAAAAACTGAAGGCCAAGAGGCAATGAAATGACATATATAAAGTACTGAAAGAAAAGTATCATCAACAAAGAATTATTTACACAGCAAAGTTGTTCTTCAAAAATGAGGATGAAATCAAAACATTCCCAGATAAGCAAAAGTTGTGGGAATTCGTTACCACCAGACCTACTCTGCAAGAATTACTAAAGTGTATGCTTCAGATGAAAAGGAAAGGACACAGATAGATAGTTGAAGCTGCACATGGGAAAGAAAATTTTAAAATAAAAGCAAGATTTCAAGTAAAGGTAATGGCATGGGGAAATAAAGGGCCCGTTGTATGGTATTTACACTGGGTAAATTTATAGTTAAGTTCTACAAGCATTGTAACATCAAATACATAAGAAATAAGTACAAATTCACCCTAACAGACACAGTATATATACTGAATGTGATTGGTGACAAAACAACAGAGATGGAGGAGGAGGGAGTAAAATATGAACAGAGTTTTAGTATGTTAAAATTGTATGTTACTTGTTTGTATTTAAATGTTGATATCAAGCTAAAATAATTTGTTGTAAGTGTAAGTTATTAAATATAAAATTTTTATAACTACTAAGAAAATATTTTAAAAATATACACAACAGGGAAGAAGAAAAACATCAGAAAGACTCAACGTAAAAAAGTAACCATGAAAAAATAACAAAAGTGTAGGCATTGTGGGACAAAAAAGATACAAGACACAAAAAAATTAGCAAAATGAATGAAGTAGATCCTTTGTTTTCAATGATTACCTTAAATGTAAATGGTTTAAACTCTCCATTTAAAAGGTAGAAGGTAACAAAATGGATTAAAATAAACAAACAAAAAACATGATCCATCCTTTTCCTGTCTAAAGGAGACACATGTTAGCCCCAAGGACTAGGGCTTTGAATAGGCTTGAATCAGTTTATTCATGGCTGATGAAGTGAAACTGGAATGACTGAATTTTTAAAATTTGGGTGATTCAGAAGAATAACTGGAATGGAAAAATTATGGGTTGAAGCCCTGGAATGAGAGACACAAAAGATATATAGTGAACCCTTTCAGGAGCCTAACGTATGAGATTTGATTATTGGCAGGACTGAGGAGAAGGACACACATTGAAAGTGGTGCGATCAGCCCATCTTTGAGCAGGACAACACTGTTTCCAATACTGCACAAAATCAGATGGGAAAGAAAATTGGTCGCTATGCAATGCATACGCTGTCATTGTTTTCTAAGAAGGAGATTAAATTTCCAGCAGAGCTTCGACCTGTAATTTTTTTTCCATTCTGGCTATCTTTCTGGTTCACACAAAGTTTGAAAATTTGGGTCTGTTCCAGTCTTGCTTCCTTGGCCATGACTGAACCAGGAAGAACTCGTTCAAAGCCCTGCTGAGGACACAAACAGACTGGAAGTGAAAGAATGAAAAAGAATAATCCATGAAGTTAGAAACCAGAAGAGAGCAGGGGTGGCCATACTGATAGCAGAGAAAATAGATTTTAAATCAAAATCTATTACGAGAGATAAAGAATGACATTACATAATAATAAGTGGGTCAATCCATCAAGAAGACATAATAATTATAAATATATATGTATCCAACATCAGTGCCCAAAATATATGAAAGGAATACTGACAGATATGAAAAGAGTTAAAGACAACTCCCACAATAGTAGTTGGGGATTTCAAGACACCACTTTCAATACTGAACAGAAAGTCTAAAAAGAAAATAAGTAAGTCTTATGGATTAAGTTGTGTCTACCAAAAACGTATATTGTAAATCCTAACCACTATACCTATGCTATAATGCCATTTGTGAATGGGTTTCTTTGTTATTCTGATGAGACAGTATTAGTGCAGGAAGTGTCTTAAGTCATTTTCTTTTGAGATATATAAGAACAGATTAAGGAAGCAAGTAAGCACAAATAGAGGGGAAGATACATGCCCCATGATCTATAAGAAACCTAAGCAAAGAAGTTGAAAAGAGACAAGAGCCTTCCCCCAGAGTGGAGAAAGAGCCTTCTCCTTGAGCCAGCACCCTGAATTTGGACTTCTAGCCTCCTAAATTGTGAGAAAATAAATTTCTGTTTCTTTTGTTGTTGTTGTTGTTGTTTTTTATTTTTTTATTGTACTTCAGGTGAAGGTTTACAGAACAAATAGTTTCTCATTAAACAGTCAGTACATGTATTGTTTTATGACATAGGTTAACAACCACAAGACATGTCCACTCTCTCCCTTCTCAATCTTTTTTTTTTGGTGAAAATATACATAGCCAAAGATACACCATTTCAAAAATTTCTACATGCACAGTTCAGTGACATCGATTACGTTCTTCCAATTGTGTTGCTATTCTCACTTTAGATGAAGGTTTACAGAACAATATAGTTTCTCATTAAGCAGTTAGTACACATGTTTCCCTATGACAATGGTTAACAACCCCACTACATGTCAACACTGTCCTTACTCAACCTTGAGTTCCCTATCACCAGTTTTCCTGTCCCCTTCTGCCTTCTAGTCCTTGTCCCTGGACTGCTGTGCCTCATTAGTCCCCTTTTGTTTAATGGGACTGTCCAATCCCCACCTGAATGGTGAACCTCGGAAGTGACCTCAAGACTGAATCTGAAGCTATAACTTCTGCCTGGTTGCATAGGACTTGCCATATTGATGAACCAGCAGAAAAAGAATGGAGTAATAATCCTGGGACACCTGAAGTACTGGCCAATGGTGAGGGAAACCTAGTATGAATGTTTGAGGAGTAAAATTATGAAGATCAGTGAGGGCCATGTGATCAGCTGCAAAATCAGGGGTATAACTTCTCCTTACCACCCATGTTAAGTATTTTGTGGAGATTGTGAATGGGCACCCTCAGGAAGATATGGTGTCAAGTTAAGTTTTATGGAGGGTAAAAGCAGATCTAAGCAGTGCTGGGTGGACTTCATCAGGTACCTCTGATGTTGTCACTCACAGCTCTAAGTCTGCTAGTCATGTTTCAGTGGACTTTTCCCTGCAGACTTTGTTTCATTCTAAAGATATTTCATCTTGAGTATGTACTGCTTATCTTTCTCTTTCTGCCTTAGGGCTTCTATCATGCTGCCTCAGATTTACGATTTTTCTCAGCATGCTTACATTCACAGTTTGCATCTGGGATGCCGGTGTTATATTCCTTGCAGCCAACTTCAGAGAGGATTAATGGGAAATTCTTAAAGTCGTTTATTTGTTCCTCAGAATTCTCCAATTAGATTAACTCTAGTTGCCACAGCAGTGACCTGAAAACACACTGTTATACTGACTATCATCCTTTTCCTATTTTACTCCCCCTGGTCCCTTCATTCTGCTCACTGGAATTACTCTCCCAAATAAACTACCTGCACACTTGTGCTTGAGTCAGGCTCTGCTTTGAGGGAGAACTCGTGCAAAGTTTTCTGCAATTGAATGAACACCAGCTTTTGACAGAAATTCTCATGTATTTTCAAATGTTTCAGGATCTGACTTCCCAATCGTATCCAATCTACTTTAAGAAATGGCATGCTGATCACCCCATATCTTTATGATCAGAGGCCAGTGGAATTGTGTAATGACTCTACATTGACCAAGGCTACTGATACATAAAAGAAAGTTTAAATAGAAAATTCTCATCTATAATCATGCCAGTTTTTCCATCAAGATAAAATATCCACATTGCTTTCCACTATAATTTAATTTTCATTTGTAATGAGCGTTACTACTACAATGATATCAAGGGAGAATTTGGCAGAGAACATCTCAAAATAAATCAATTTGGTGTATTAGACTTTGGATAAATTATTCGTACTTGGTAACAATCTTGATTTTTAAATGAAATATCTGTGATAAAGTAGAGAAAGACATAGAAATTCAAATTCAAGCCATGCCTTTTCCATTTCATGTCTTGTTCACATTGGCTATGAAATCAAACCACTGGTTTATGTAAAGAAAACTATTTTTTTTCTTAGTAAACAAAGCAGAATATTTAGAACGAAAATTCTGTTGCTTTAGTTACTGTTCCAAACTATCAACTGACCTGAAATAAGCACAATAAGTTACATTTCAAGAATTCAATTGTTGAGTAAAAACATCAATGTTTATAGTTTAATGAAAATTCCATCCAGATTAATTGCCCATGTACCCTGAATTCTCAGGTGAATAGATTGATTTATAATCTAATTGAAGCAAGTTTTATAAGAGTCAGATCTTAGGTAATTTTGAACATTTTCATTAAAAAATAGGAGAAAGACACACACATGAAAATCATAGACTTGTCCTGTTGGACTGACTTTATACCTACTTGATGATAAGTAAATCAGGTAAACTATTGTTTTTGTTGTAGCTGGTGAGTTGTAAATCCAATACTTAATAACTTGTCAGGATAAAAATTAACAAGTAGTATCTACATTTTTTAAGCATAGGCCAAATTAAACATCCACTCAAGAAGATAATTAAAAATGTTCTGCTGGTTTTCATAATCTAGGCATAGACACAGTTAAAAATTGTTAACTTTATCCTGACCCACAAAGAAGTTATGGAATTTATGGCTGAGAATTGTTACCAAAATCACTCAGTATTGAGAAACTCTGGATACTACCATCTTACTTTATAATTAGGATTTGCCCAGAACTTTCCTCAGAGCTTCTCCAACCTCCTTGTTCCTTAGGCTGTATATGAGGGGATTCAACATGGGGGTGAGCATGGTATAGAATACAGAGAGACCTTCATCTTGCTCTGAGGTATGCAAGGCACTGGGAATCATGTAGATAAACATGGTTGGACCAAAGTAGAGAAACACCACCATCAGATGGGAAGAGCATGTGGCAAGAGCTTTATTCCTTGCCTTGATAGAATTTAAGCGGAGAACACTGAGGAAGATAAAAACATAGGAGGCTAGAATGAGGTAAAAGGGTGTGAGAAGGAACACAATTCCAATCACAAACACTACTTTCTCATAAGTTGAAGTGTCCTCACATGACAGCTTGAGTACTGCCTGTAGCTCACAGAAGAAATGGTGAACTTCTCTTGAGCCACATCTGGGAAAATGCATGGTATATGTGGTTTGGACTAGGGAATTAAATGCCCCTCCTACCCAGGACACCATGGTCACCTGCAGACAAACCTCAGAATTCATAATGACCACATATCTCAAGGGGTTACAAATAGCCACATACCAGTCATAGGCCATCAGAGTGAGCAAAATACATTCACTTACTCCAAGGGCAGAATAGAAGTAGATCTGTGTCCCACAGGCAATGTATGAAATATCTGATATCCCTAAGAAAAAGTTGGTTAGCATCTTGGGGACAGTTGTGGAGATGAGGGAGATGTCCATGAGGGAGAGCTGGCTGAGCAGAAAGTACATGGGGCTGTGGAGCCAGGGATCCAGAGAGATGAGGAGGACCAAGGTGGTGTTTCCTGTGATGGCAACAATGTAGACGAGGAGAATGGTGCAGATGAGGAAGCCAACGTGCCTTGTTCCTGGGAAAAGTCCAAGGAGGGTAAAACCTACCACAGAACTCTTGTTATCTCTCTTCATGTCTTATATACAACTGGAGGAACAAAGAGGAGAAATACTTTAATGTGCTCTGGGGGAAAATTATTTATTATTGAAAAATTTTCATATATTGACTTTGTGATAAAATAACATTCATAATTTTGCCCCCAATATGATCTATCATTGGAGAAAAATAAATTGTAATTATCATTAGAATTTATTAATAATCTTAGTAATACATGTCAATAAAATGTGTATTAATGAATGAGCCTACCAACAGGTTACTTTCTACATGCAAAAATTTGGTCAAGTAATTCTAATGTTGAAACTTCAGGTATTTTGGCAGGTAGATATTTCAGGTTGCTTGAGATAAATTTGAATTACATTATGATTAACCCCAGTAGTTCTGTAATAATAGTGGTGTTTTGCATAGAGCATAACCATTCAGTCCCCTCTTCATTCCAATTTATCAACCCTCTCCTCTATAAGAGCATCATGATTACTTGACTTGTCTTCTCCACTTTTTGAGCTGCTCACGAGGAAAATGTAATGTTATGAGAAGCAGCTCCAGCTGTTTTACTGGCAGAGGCTGGTTCTCTGTACCTGGGTATGGTTGTCCAGAAATGCAGTTCCAGGTTATTGATTGACCATCCACACTATGAAATGCATGTCAATGTAAGAGAAGTGTAAGAAATGCCTTGAGTTCTCCAGCCACCATCCCTCCACATCTTATGGTCATCAGAAGAATTCATAACAGATGGACTGTCCTCCCCTCCTGTATAATGAGGATTCAGAGAATAAAGAGATTTACTGTAAAGTCTTAAACTGAACTTGCATTTACCTGAAAGTTGCATTTTCCAACATGTCATGTTGCTTTCCAGTTAAAAAGGTACATTATGCCACATCTAAATACTGAAGAGTCTTAGTTCTGTTTGAATGAAGGCAGCTCATTCAGCTTGGGTAATGTATACTTAGACTGATATATATGTCAAATATATACATATATATATATATTTTAACTTAAGCCACATCCTCCTACTGTTTTATTACCCTTGCAACACTGGGAAATCAACAAGTCCTGTTAGAATCAGAGCTCAACATCTGCTTTAAAATGCCAGACTTTAACCAGATAGCGCTCAAGACTCTCCTAATTCTATTCTTCCCATTTTTACTTAATACATATTGAGTGACCTCTGCTATATTCAAAGCACTATACTAGTTGATGTGAGAGATATGAGGCTTAGTAAGATATGGTCTTTTTGTGACAACTTAAAGTTCCATGGAAGAAATAATATACAAATCATTCTGACACAAAGCAGTAACAGACCAGTGACAGATGTCATACATTTAAATCTACATCCATATCTATACAACAACTTTTGTGCCGATGGACTAACTAGAGGATAGTCAGAGGGTATCTGAGGGAAGATCCTCAGCCCCTGTCACATGGCAGGCAATGGGCAGGGTCATTAAATCCAAGCCCATACGTTTTCAGCACAGCAGCCTGCCTTCAATTTCAGAGATGCATTTGTGACACAAAAGGAGGCACAAGTTTTCAGGACCAAAAACGTGACATTCTAACGACTTTGGATTTTACTTACTCCAGAATGGGAAGGGACTTAGTTGAGTGAACAAATGCGAAATTTTGCCATTGTCGTAAGTCCTGTTCACAGCCTACCTAGTTTGCTGCTACGGCATGCATTAATTCCTCCTAGTTGCTCTGACATGGTTATTCCTATTTTGTCACACAGCCTCTCAGTGGTTGTGGTCTTTACTGACCCTCTGGGGATGTTCTATATAATTTTCTGTGTTAAAAACCCATTACTATCTTATAACTAAGTCTCTTAAATGCTGTAATTACTCCTTGCCCCTCCCAGTCATGCCCCATATGGGATCTCATGATAAAAACTTCTCCCTTTTCCCACGTTAATGGACTACAATCTTTTAAACTGACCAGTAAGACTTCAATGAGCTCTAACTCTGAGACCCCATCCTGCATAAACCTTCTCCTACAATTCTAACTTGTTGTTGTATTGTCCCTGAGTGCAATCCTCTGTGTGGATCTGAGTTCAGGGTGGCTGTAGCTTCCTCGCTGGAACCCGTGAGTACTAAATTCTATTTGTTTTCTGACCTTCCTGCATAAGTCTCACTTTCTCATGCCACACCAGACAAGCTATCTAAGCACCCAGAGATTCCTTTGGGTCAAACTTAATACAGTTTTGGGGAAGCATTTAAAGAAATCTGTGAACATGCTGAATGATTAAGCTAAAGATGTCATGTCCTGTCCTATTTTATTAAGCCAGACTACCCATATACAGCTGTTCTTCTTCACTGCTTGATTGACTTCATCAAGGTTTAGAGCAGAAATATTAGCTACAGCATTTATCCTTAAAGGAAATCATGAATCCTATAGTAAGAGAATCACTCACACAGTTTTCTGTACTTTCATCATTACCTTTTATAATGTGATTATATTCTGATGCCCTGTATCTTGTGTCTCTGAAAAGCGTTCTGCTTCATGGTCCAGAGAAGTGGTTCTGAATTCAACCTTCTTACATTATCTTCTGCACTGAATCCCAATTTTATAACCTGTGAGTGACCAACTGGCAGTGAACTTGGCTATTTAGGAGAAATGAATGAAGAATCCAGGTCATGTGTAGTTGTGGACCAGGACACCCCCAGAGGAATATCCTTGGGGACTTCTACCCCTGGCCTTCAATTATCTTGAGTTTATTTCATCAGGTTCAGGTTAGACTTTCTTAGGAGTAATTTACAGAGGATAATTATCTGCTCCTTTTACTGGTTCCTTTTAGAATCGTGTTCCCTTCCTCCTGCTCATCACCAGAATGTTCCAATAATTATGTTGTGATCATAGATGATGTACAATTCTTGGCGCATCTTAAAACTTTTGCCAAGTGTTCTCCTCCAGGATGTCATGATCCTGCCTCTGGAAGGACATTCTTTTGACAAGTTGTTTTAAATTTCTAACAATTTTTACTCTTTTCAAATTAAATCTAAAGATGTCTTTAAAACAAGGTTTTGTTTTAAATCCGTCATTGCATTCACTGACCATGAAATCAACCTAATGATAAATGGGTAACTGATATAGCCTATCAAGGTAGAGTTGCATTTCTATAGGTTCAGGACAAATCTATTTTCAGAGGATGAAGTAGATTATAAAAAGAGCAAAGAAAGATGGAACACAGTTTCATCCATGTTATGAGATGCTTAACAGATTCATCGTTGTTATTTATCTTTGCATAGTACTCCATTGTGTGTA